TTGAAAATAATTAGTGAAAATAAATTTTAAGTACCAATCTTAATGTGACTATAAAGGGTTACTAAAATATCTTTAGTGAAAATAAATTCTAATTCACTTTCGTACAAAGACTCATTTATACCCAACAAGTTTCACATCTTTAGGTGTGTGGACTACAGGTCCAAAAACTTTTCATTTTTCAAGAGATTTTAATTTTATCTCCACCCTTTTGACCTTGCTCATGTCCACATCTATGACCACTACCACAACCATGATCGCGACCGCGACTGAGGCCACTAGTAAAACCTTGATCACATGGTTGCACGTGAATACGGTGGTCATGTGTTACTGCATTCACTTCAGGGAATGGAGCAGTGCCAACTAGACGTGACTTATAGTTTTTCATTAATAACTCATTATTTTGTTTAGCAGCTAAGAGACATGATATTAGCTCTGAATGTAAATGTAGATGTCTTCAGGATTTACTTTATAGATGTTTTCAGGATCTACTTTATACTGTGGATATATAAATGAATAAATAAATATTTAAATGTAGATGTCTTCAGGATCTACTTTATATTGTGGATAGCTTCTAGATCAACTTTAGATTTTGTGGATATCTCCAAGATCCACTTTATATTTTTTATATGGATAATTTTAAGATCCATTTTATATGTAGATAACTTCAGGATCCACTTTTCTTAAAAGTTATATATATAGAAACCAAATGAATTATAGAAAAAAGAAATAAGAAATTAAATACAGAATGAATAAGTAAATAAATAAATAAATACTTAAATGCAAATATCTTTAGGATATACATTATATGACGTGGATAATTTTAAGATTCACTTTAAATTTTGTGGATATCTTCATGATCCACTCTATGTTATGTGTGGGTAACTTCCAGATCCACAATTTTTAAAATTTAAAATTGTGCCCGTACTTCTAAATGTGACATATAATGCACAATTTTAATTAAAAGAAGAAAATAACTGAATAAATAAATTCAATAAGCAAATAATAAGTAAATATGTCATAGAGATTGGCTCATTTTCAAGATAGTGTGCCTCCATTTATATTAGAGATGTTCATAGGTATGAGCATAAATCTCTAATGCACTCATAGAATAGATGACAGTAAATTTAAGAAGAAAAAAAAAATACATACCTAGTGATGGTAGAAGAAAAACAATCTCATTGATAATGTGTTGTGAAATAGAGATTGAGAATAGAAGAGAAAAAGACAATACTATATTGAGAGAATAACATAATAGGGAGATTTTTTATTTCAGTGTTTTGAATACAATTGATGTGCCTTCTATTGATAGGCGCAAATATATCAATTAAAGTGAATAAAATATACAAGATAATAATAATTGAAAGATATTATAGTAACCGAAAGATATTGGAGAATCTGAGATAATGGATATTCACATAATATCCTAATATTCATAACAATTTGATAAAAATTAATTTTATAAAAATAAGTTATTCTAACAAAACTTGTATTTGGATATATTTTTCAAAAATCAATTTAATAAATTAAAAGTTATTTGAAACATACAAAATGAAAAGTATTTATAGATGTAAAATTACTAAAAAAGGTATTGATTTTGATTATTTGTAATTTTTTTACAAATGTTTCATATCAGAAATGTTTGAAAAATAAATGTAATAAAATTTTAAATCACGCAAAATTTTTAATTTTTTTTGGAATATTATACTCTTATTTGTTTTGTTTGGATAGATAAAAAAGTTGAAAGGAAAAAGAATTAGATGAGAGAACAGAAAAATAAAGAGATAAAATTATCACTTCTTATGTTTGAAAGGATAGAAGAATAAAGAGAAGAAGGAAAATATATAAATGTTATAATTATAACAACACCCTTAGATTAATATATATGTCATTTCTATCAGAATAAATGAAAGGTGAATTTTATTTTAAAATTAAGTTACTCGGTGAAAAAAATATTTTTCAAGGTTTTTTATTTTGAATCAAATAATATGACAAAAATGTATTGTTTTTCTATTCTTTATTTAAGAGTAAAAAAAAATAATTTTAAAAATATGCGTGCCCGAATCGTAATTTACTTGAAGAAAGAAATAGATAAATGTAGAAAAATAAGAGGTCATCACCAAAGTTTTTTTAGAAAAATCTTGAAAAAATATATAATGAAAAAGAATAGCCTGCAAGTAAGGATTTGAAATTCAGTTGTACGTGAAAAAATATTACGCATTTCACAATACATGTTCATAAGAATAGTTACCCTACATTAATTATGTAAAATTGTATTGACCTTTTAATAATATCTTATTATGCCGTTCATAATCACATGCAAAAATAAAATGAATAAATAAATAAAAATGAATTATTTATTTACATAAGACGACTTGAATTAGGAATAAAGTTTAGGACTTATGTACTTTATGTTAAAAATCAAAGTCCATGTAGTTTATTATCATTTAAGATTTTTCTAATTTACTTTATTTGTATGAAAATAATATTATTTTGATATAACCTTTGTCACCATAATTATTGTTATGTTTATATAAAAAGTCTTGTTCTTAGAAAATGCCTTTGGGCAAAAAATACAAAAATTAAGTAGTGTTAAAACTTACGGTGATTTAGTACCACTCACAATCTATTGACTAACACATTAATGTATACAGTAATTTAGTATCATTCATAGAGAGTCCTAAAAGGAAATTTTAAAGAGAATATTCTAGAAAATAATTTAATTAGAAAATTTTAATACAAGATTTAATACTTGCGATATTGTGGATCCCTAAAATTACTGTATGGATATAAAACTGTGATTTATACAATGTATACTTTCTTGTTCCAATTCACTGGACTTTTTTGTGGTGGCTCGGTGTTTTAAAATATAAAACATTTTTACAGAAAATTGTATTTTCATTATACTTCTTCTAATATAAGCCTATCCTTTTTATTATATTTTTAATTTTTTTAATTTTTTGCAGGTCAAGTTATAATAAATAAAGTCTATTTTTGAAAATCTAAATTTATGTTTTTAAAAAATATGATTGTAAATCAGATCCAATAAAATTTATTAATATGCGTAATTTTACAAAAAAAAAATCCTATAAATTAAGAGTGGAGGAGTATTTTTTTACATATGTTCCATATTTGCTATTCAATTTTTTGTAGGAAAACGTGATTTTATAATATGTGTTTATATTTTAAAATTATGATTTATATTATTTATTTTGAATTTAAAAAACATTATAATTTGTATTTTGCAGTGAATATATAATAATTGTAACATCATTATAATTTTAAAATTGAATATTTAAATTAGAATTGGAATTATTGTTAAACTGGTGATTAATTAATAATATCCATAACAAGTAATTACAATTTTCATTCTTATTAAATAATTAACATTATATTATATTTTAATAACATTTATTAGTAGCGTGAATTTCACAATGACGCTCCTGAATGATAAAACCAAACCCCAACTCTGCTTCTTCCGCAGCCCACCGTTGCCTGATTTAGACAAAATGTCAAAAATCTCAATCTTTGAAATCGCTGCCTGCCTTGATTATTTGTTTAATTGTGGTGTTTAGATTCTTGGTGCGTACCACAATATATATTATATATAATATATATATATATATATATATTCAATGCATTTTTTGTGGTGGTCTAGTGTTTCAAAATATAAAACAATTTTACAGAAAATAATTTCATTAATTATACTTCTTCTCATATAACACTATTCTCTTTATTATATTTTTTTCTCTTCATTTAGTTTTTCACAGATAAAATTATACTAAATAAAGTCTATTTTTAAAAAAATTGAATTTATGCTTTTAAAAAAACATTATAAATCACATTGAATAAAATTTATTAATATATGTAATTTTAAAAAAATTTTACTTTCTTTATTAAAAAATATAAGGTATTTTTAATCGAATCTCACCCTCATAGTTACCTACTTTCTAACTAATCCTATCTTTTCATATTTACCTATATGAAACATTTTACAATAAATATAAAGTCATTTATCAATAAGGGTAGTTTTGAAAAAGGGCAATAATTACATCTCAAAAGACTAAAAATGCCTTACATTTTTAAAATCTAACTTTTTAAAAAATATCTTATATTTTTTAATGGAGAGAGTATAAACTAGTAATGGAGTATTATTTTAGTATAGGTTGTTCCATATTCACTATCAAATTTTTATGAGAAAACGTGATATTAGAATAGTATTTATATTTATATTTTAAAATTATAATTTATATTATTATTTTAAATTTAAAAACATTATAATTTGTATTTTATGTAATGAGTATATAATACTTGTAACATTATAATTTTAAAATTTAAAATTTAAATTTAAATTATTGTTGAATTGAAAATTAATGAATAATATCTGGAAAACGAAATTATAATTTTTTGTGTAAATTTTTTTCATTTATTAAAATTCAAGTATTATAAATATTTGTTATTATTTTAATTTAAGTAATGAAATATAATAATAAATATTAAATGAAAAGAGAAATAAAGTAAATAAAATTTGCATTAAATAAATAAAATTATATATATTATATTATACAATATTATATTCTAATTTATAATTTAGATTTATTAGTCGCGTAAATAGCACGAGCTCTCCTCTCCTGAATTAAAACCGAACCCCATATTCTAATTTATAATTAATAATTAATATTTATTAGCTGCGTAGATCTCACGAGCTCTCCTGAACTAAAACCCAAACCCCTAGTTTGCTTCCCCCTCCACCCAGAAGCCGCCACCGTCTAATCCTTTGCGCCATGACGATGCGGAGTTCAGTTACGCGTTGTCTTCGAGGAAGTCGTCGCAGAACTCTTCCTGCCCACGTTCTTCGCCCCCTTCATCTCTCTCCTCCTCGTTGTTTAATCTGTCCGAATCTTCTTACAACTAACTGTCCTTGTTTTATTAATGATATAGAAGAATGCACGATCTGCATTTGCTGATGTTAGCGTGTGCACTAAATTCTGGTACGCTATTCTTTCTTGTTACTTCTTGTGGGTCTCTACAATTTTGGTAGTCTAGAGATGATTTGATTATCAGACAGCATTGTGTTTTGTGCTCTCCTCTAAACGAAACAGAGGAGAAACGGTCGTAGTTTACTAATAATTCACAATACTTGGTTGATTGATTAGATTCCAATAATGACCCTTCATCTGCATTTACAATAATTAATAAATTGGTATGATAATGGGTTTTATGCACCTTTTACCAATAAGATCAGGGGCATAAATGGGCATCAGTGTCAATGTATATCAAATCATATCTCTGTCAAGTTGCTTGCAGGTTATGATTTGGAGAGTTTATCTCTTGGATTATACATGAATGCACGATTCACAGAGAAAGTGTCATAGTCAGGGGGGAAAAAGACACGACTCAATGGGAAAATTTATATGAAATTGTTTATTTCTTTATGGTGAAATTTTATAGATACGATTGTTTAAAATTATCAAATTATGACTGTTTTGAATCCTTGAATTTGGAATACAAATGTTAAAAAATTATGACCTATGCAAACCTAGGAAAATTGACAGTTTTTTAGACCCTTCAACAGCACAAATGTGGGAAAATTGTGACCTATACCAATATGGTAAAATCGTATTCATTCTGGGTTCTTGAACTTTGAATGGAAAATTGTCTTGTGATTTTCTACGATCTTATTTTTTGTTTTCTAGAGAAATGACTCTTGCATCATGCGATACGTCTTTGAGTGAAAAGTGGAATTAATTACCAGGCTTAAATTTGACTTGTTAAGCTGCCTTATTATTATTATTTTTTACCTTCATGTCCTGATATTTTTTGAAGTATCATATGTGCCAAATATGAGAAAGGACAGGATTCTTTTTTTTTTTGGGGAAAATGTCCTTACCATTTTATTTGAACTTGCATCTGTAATGCACTTCTACAAGGCTCAGTGATGTTTGTATATTTGATGCCTAATTAAAAGGTGCATAAATACAAATATAGTGGCTTACTTTCGCGCTTTAGCTTAGACTTTTTGTGTCTTTGCTGCCTATAGCCCTTGTACATATGTATACATATATCCTACTTTGACAATTTTCTCAAGTATGCCCATTCATAAAGCTTGATGCCCATTGCATCATGTGTTGCTTATTTTGATGACTTCTATTTACGTATGGGAATGCTTTGACTATTTTGGATCTTTTAACTTGAATTACAAATGTGAGAATATTACCGTTTTGCATTGTTTAATTTCGATTACAAATGTTTTGACCATTTTAAATTTTTTAACTTGGATCACAATTGTGGGAATATACAAACCGTTTTGGAATATTTAAATTCGATATCAAATTCGGGAATATTTTGAACATTTTGGATCCTTTAACTTGGATCACAAATGTGATATACAAATGTGGGAAAATTTTGACCGTGTTGGATCCTTTAACTTGGATAACAATTGTGGGGATATTTGGACCATTTTGGATCATATAAATTCAATTTAAAAAATGGGAATGTTTTTACCCTTTTGGATCCTTTAACTTGGATCACAAGTATGATGCACAAACGTGGAAATTTTTTGATTGTTTTGGATCCTTTAACTTGGATCACAATTGTGGGAGTATCTGAACCATTTTGGATTATATAAATTTGATTACAAATTTGGGAATGTTTTGACCCTTTCGGATCCTCTAACTTGGATCACAAGTGTGATACACATATGTGGGAATTTTCTAACCATTTTGGATCCTTTAACTTGGATTACAATTGTGGGAATAACCGGACTGTTTTGGATATACTAAATTTGATTTCAAATGTGGGAATATTTTGACCCTTTTGGATCCTTTAATTTAGATCACAAGTGTAATACACAAATGTGAGAATTTTCTAACTGTTTTGGATCCTTTTACTTTGATCACAAATGTGGGAATCTTTGGACCCTTTTGGATCTATTAAATTTGATTACAAATGTGGGAATGTTTTGATCGTTTTAGCTCTTATATCTTGAATCACATATGTAATATGCAAATGTGGGAATGTTTTGACCATTTTGGATTAGTTAACTTAGATCACAAATGTTGGAATGTTCTAACCATTTTGGATTAGTTAACTTAGACCACAAATGTGGGAATCTTTGTAACATTTTGGATCCTTTAATTGAGATCACAAATGTGGGAATATTCGAACTGTTTTGGATTTTTTAAATTCGATTACAAATGTGGAATGTTCTAATTGTTTTGAAATTTTTAGCTCGACTCATAATTGTGATATGCAAATTGTGAAATGTTTTGATCAATTTGGATCCTTTAACTAGGATCACAAATGTGACAATATTTGCACTATTTTTTATCCTTTAAATTCGATTGCAAATGTGGGAATCTTTTGACCATTTTGAATCCTTTAACTTGGATCACAATTATGGAAATATTCGGACTGTTTTGGATCATTTAAATTCAGGAATGTTTTGAACATTTTAGATCCTTTAACTTGGATAACAAATGTGATATACAAATGTGGCAATGTTTTGACTGTGTTGGATCCTTTAACTTGGATCATAATTGTGGGAATATTCAGAACATTTTGGATCATATAAATTTGATTGCAAATGTGAGAATGTTTTGACCCTTTAACTTGGATCACAAGTGTGATACACAAATGTGGGAATTTTTTGACTGTTTTGGATCCTTTAACTTGGATCACTATTGTGGGAATATCTAGACCCTTTTGGATCATATAAATTCGATTACAAATGTGGGAATGTTTTGACCCTTTTGGATCCTCTAACTTGCATCACAAGTGTGATACACAAATGTGAAAATTTTCTGACTATTTTGGATCCTTTAACTTAGATCACAATTGTGGGAATATCCAGACTGTTTTGGATCTATTAAATTCGATTAAATGTTTTGACCCTTTTGGATCCTCTAACTTGGATCATGAGTGTGATACACAAATGTGGGAATTTTCTGACTGTTTTGGATCCTTTTACTTTGATCACAAATGTGGGAATCTTTAGACCATTTTGGATCTATTAAATTCGATTACAAATGTGAAAATGTTCTGACTATTTTGGCTCCTACATCTTTAATCACATGTATAATATGCAAATGTGGGAATGTTTTGATAGTTTTGGATTATTTAACTTAGATCACAAATGTTGGAATGTTTTGATCATTTTAGATCATTTAACTTAGAGCACAAATGCGGGAATCTTTGAAACTTTTTGGATCCATTAAATTTGATTACAAATGCGGGATTGTTTTGACTGTTTTGAATCCGTTAATTGAGATCACAAATGTGGGAGTATTTGAATCGTTTTGGATTTTTTAAATTCGATTACAAATGTGAAAATATTCTAATTGTTTTGAAATTTTTAACTCGACTCACAAATGTGATATGCAAATTGTGAAATGTTTTGATTGATTTGGATCCTTTAATTAGGATCACAAATGTGAGAATATTTGGATTGTTTTTGATCCTTTACATTCGACTGCAAATGTGGAAATCTTTTGACCATTTTGAATCCTTTAATTTGGATCACAATTGTGGGAATATTCGGATTGTTTTGGATCATTTAAATTTGATATTAGATTCGAGAATGTTTTGAACATTTTGAATTTTTTAACTTGGATCACAAATGTGATAAATAAATGTGGGAATGCTTTGACCGTGTTGGATCCTTTAACCTTGATCTCAAATGCGGGAATGTTGGACCATTTTGGATCATATAAATTCAATTACAAACAAGGGAATGTTTTGACCCTTTTGGATCCTTTAACTTGGATCACAATTGTGAGACTATTTGAACCCTTTCAGATCCTTTAACTTGGATCACAAGTGTGATACACAAAGGTAGGAATTTTCTGACTATTTTGGATCTTTTAACTTTGATCACCAATGTGGGAATCTTTGGACCGTTTTTGATAGATTAAATTTGATTACAAATGCGGGAATGTTCTGACCATTTTGGCTCCTATATCTTTAATCACATATATAATATGCAAATGTTAAAATGTTTTGGCCGTTTTGGATAATTTATTTTAGATCACAAATGTGGGAATTTTTAGATAGTTTTGGATCCATTAAATTCGATTATAAATATGGGATTGTTTTGACCATTTTGGATCCTTTAATTGAGATCACAAATGTGGGAATTTCTAATTGTTTTGAAATTTTTAACTCTACTCACAAATATGATATAAAAAATGTGAAATATTTTGATCAATTTGGATCCTTTAACTAGGATCACAAATGTGAGAATATTTGGATTGTCTTTTATCCTTTAATTTGATTACAGATGTGGAAATCTTCTGACCATTTTGAATCCTTTAACTTGGATCAAAATTGTGGGAATATTTGCACCATTTTGGATCATTTAAATTTGACATCAAATTTGGAAATTTTTTGAACATTTTGGATCCTTTAACTTAGATAAAAAATGTGGGAATGTTTTGACCATATTGGATCCTTTAACTTTGATATCAAAAGTGGGAATGTTCAAATCATTTTGGATAATTTAAATTCAATTATAAATGTGAGAATGTTTTGACCCTTTTGGATCCTTTAACTTGGATTACAAGTGTTATACACAAATGTGGGAATTTTTCTAACTGTTTTGGATCCTTTTACTTTGATCACAAATGTGGGAATCTTTAGACTATTTTGGATCTATTAAATTTGATTACAAATGTGGAAATGTTCTGATCGTTTTAGCTCCTATATCTTGAACACATATGTAATATGCAAATGTGGGAATGCTTTGATCGTTTTTTATTATTTAACTTAGATCACAAATGTTGGAATGTTCTGACCGTTTTGGATTTATTAAATTCGATTACAAATGTGACCGTTTTAGCTCCTATATCTTGAATCACATATGTAATATGCAAATGTGGGACCGTTTTTGATTATTTAACTTAGATTACAAATGTTGGAATGTTCTGACTGTTTTGAATCATTTAACTTAGAGCATAAATGTGGGAATCTTTGGAACTTTTTGAATCCATTAAATTCAATTATAGATGTGGGATTGTTTTGATTGCTTTGGATTCTTTAACTAAGATCATAAATGTGGGAATGTTTGTAATTGAATTCAGTTAAAATTATGGGAATGTTTAGATTGTTTAAATTCAGATCATTTTGGATGTTTTAAATTTGGTTACAAATGTGGGAATGTTCTAATTATGTTTAAAATTTTAACTCGACTCACAAATGTGAGAATATTTGGACTATTTTTGATCCTTTAAATTTGATTGCAAATGTGGAAATCTTGTGATCATTTTAAATCCTTTAACTTGGATCACAATTGTGAGAATATTTGGATTGTTTTGGATCATTTAAATTTGATATCAAATTTGGAAATGTTTTGAACATTTTTGATCCTTTAACATTGATCACAAATGTGATATACAAATGTTGTAGTGTTTTGACCGCATTGGATCCTTTAACTTTGATCTCAAATGTGGGAATGTTTGAACTATTTTGGATAATTTAAATTTAATTACAAATGTGGGAATGTTTTGATCCTTTTGGATCTTTTAACTTAGATCACAAGTGTCATAGACAAATGTGGGAATTTTGTTATCGTTTTTTATCCTTTAACTTGGATCACAATTGTGGGAATATTTAGACTATTTTGGATCATATAAATTTGATTATAAATGTGAAAATGTTTTGACCCTTTTGGATCCTCTAACTTAGATCACGAGTGTGATACACAAATGTGGAAATTTTTTGACCGTTTTGGATCCTTTAACTTTGATCACAAATGTGGGAATCTTTGGACTATTTTGGATCTATTAAATTTGATTACAAATGTGGGAATTTTCTGACCGTTTTGGCTCCTATATCTTGAATCACATATGTAGTATGCAAATGTGAGAATGTTCTGGCTGTTTTGGATTATCTAACTTAGATTACAAATGTGAGAATGTTTTGACCGTTTTGGATTAGTTAACTTAGAGCACAAATGTGGGAATCTTTGAAACGTTTTGGATCCATTAAATTCAATTACAAATGTGGCATTGTTTTGGATCCTTTAATTGAGATCACAAATATGGAAATATTCAAACTGTTTTAGATTTTTTAAATTTGATTACAAATGTGGGAATATTCTAGTCATTTTGAAATTTTTAACTCGACTCACAAATGTGATATGCAAATTGTGAAATGTTTTGATCAATTTAGATCCTTTAACTGGGATCGCAAATGTGACAATATTTGCACTGTTTTTGATCCTTTAAATTTGATTGCAAATATGAAAATCTTTTGACCATTTCGAATCCTTTAACTTGGATCACAATTGTGGGAGTATTCGGACCATTTAATTTGATATCAAATTCGGGAATGTTTTGAACATTTTGAATCCTTTAACTTGGATCACCAATGTGATATACAAATGTGGCAATGTTTTGATTGTGTTAGATCATATAAACTTGATTACAAATGTGAGAATGTTTTGACCCTTTTGGATCCTTTAACTTGGATTATAGGTGTGATACACAAATGTGGGAATTTTCTAATCATTTTGGATCTTTTAACTTGGATCACAATTGTGGGAATATCAGGATCATTTTGGATCATATAAATTTGATTACAACTGTGAGAATGTTTTGATCTTTTTGGATCTTCTAATTTGGATCACAAGTGTGATACACAAATGTGAAAATTTTCTGACCGTTTTGGATCTTTTAATTTTGATCACAAATGTGGGAATCTTTAGACCCTTTTGGATCTATTAAATTCAATTTCAAATGTGGGAATGTTCTGATCGTGTTGGCTCTTATATCTTGAATTGCATATGTAATATGCAAATGTGGAAATGTTTTGACCGTTTTGGAATATCTAACTTAGATCACAAGTGTGTGAATGTTCTGACCGTTTTGGATTAGTTAACTTAGAGCACAAATGTGGGAATCTTTGAAACGTTTTGGATCCATTAAATTTGATTACAAATGTGGCATTGTTTTGGATCCTTTAATTGAGATGACAAATGTGGGAATATTCGAACTATTTTGGATTTTTTAAATTTGATTACAAATGTGGGAATGTTTTAATCATTTTGAAATTTTTAACTTGGCTCACAAATATGATATACAAATTATGAAATGTTTTGATCAATTTGGATCCTTTAACTGGGATCACAAATGTGACAATATTTGCACTTTTTTTGATCCTTTAAATTCAATTGCGAATATGGAAATCTTTTGACCATTTCGAATCCTTTACCTTGGATCACAATTGTGGGAATATTCGGATCATTTTGGATCATTTAAATTCGATATCAAATTCAAGAATGTTTTGAACATTTTGGAACCTTTAACTTGGATTACAAACGGGATATACAAATGTGGGAATGTTTTGATCGTGTTGGATCCTTTAAATTTGATCTTAAATGTGGGAATATTCGGACCGTTTTGGATAATTTAAATTCAATTACAAATAAGGGAATGTTTTGACCCTTTTGGATCTTTTAACTTGGATCACAATTGCGAGACTATTCGAACAATTTTGAATAATTTAAATTTGATTACAAATGTGGGAATGTTCTGATCATTTTGGCTCCTATAATTGGAATCACATATGTGATATGCAATGTGAAAATATTCTGATCATTTTGGATCATTTAACTTAGATCACAAATGTGAGATTGCTTTGATCATTTTGGATAATTTAACTTATGTAACAAATGTGGGAATCTTTGGACTGTTTTGGATTCATTAAATTCGATTACAAATGTGGAATTGTTTTGATCATCTTGGATTCTTTAATTTGGATCACAAATGTGTAAATATTCAGACCATTTTGGATCTTTTAAAGTCAATAACAAAGGTGAGAATGTTTTAACTGTTTTAGGTCCTATAACTTATATTGCAAATGTGGTATACAAATGTGGGAATGTTCTGATTGTTTTAAATCCTTTAACTTAGATCACAAATGTGAAATTTTTTTGACTATTTTGGATCTTTTAAATTCGATTGCAAATGTGAGAATGTTTTGACTATTTGGGATCCTTCAACCTAGATTTTGATTGCTCCTATATTGAGAATGTTCTGACCATTTTGAATTAGTTAACTTAGGACAAAATGAATTTAAGTTGGCTACTTGTCATATCTGTGTTGCTTGTAGCACTTGTACATACACATATTTGGCAAATTTCTCTTGTATGCGCACTTACAAAGCTTGATACCTACTGTATGATGTGTTGTTTATTTTGATAGCTCTTATACAAATGTGAGCATGTTCTGACCGTTTTGGATCCTTTAACTTGGATCACAAATGTGACAATATTCAGATTGTTTTGGATCCTTTAAATTTAGTTACAAATGTTGGAATGTTTTGACTATTTTAGATCATTTAACTTATATGTTGAAGGCTCTTAGAATAGAAATGTTTTTATTGTTTTTGATCCTTTAATATGGATTACAAATGTGAGAATTTTTTGATCGTTTAGGATCCTCAAACTTGGAAAACAAATGGGCAAAATTTTGACCATTTTGGATTCATGATCTTTGAATACGAAATGGGAAGTTATGACCGTTGCTAATGTGGAAAATTGTAATGGTTTTGGGTTCTTAAACTTAGAATAGAAAGCTACTTTGTGATTTGGTACAATTGTATATTTGGCTTTCTAGATAAATGACCCTGCATCATTATACTTATTTTGAATGTTCTTGTGGAAAATGCCCTATTGCTGCTTGTGTTGCTTGACGGCTCATATGCAAATGTGTGAATGTTTTGACTGATTTGGATACTTTAACTTGGATTAAAAGTGTGGGAAAATTGTGACCTATATAAATGTGGAAACTTATGACCCTTTTGGATTTTTAAACCTGGAATTTATGTGGGAAAATTGTGACTTGTTCAAATATGGCTAAATTGACTATTTTGGATCTTAAAACTTGAAATGCATATATGGGAAAGTTTTGATCTATACAAATGTGAAAAATTATCACTATTTTAGATTCTTGAACTTAGAATTGAAAATTGCCTTGTAATTTGTTACCATCATATATTTGGCCTTCTTGACAAATGACCCATGCATTAATTGATACTTGATTTGAAGGTAACAAAATTGCTTGTTTATTTTGTTTATTGAGATCTCTTACCAGTAATTATCTTATTGATGTTTAAACAGCATTTAGGGAATGGCTTATCCTATTCTCGAATGGTTCTTTGGTTCATAGATTAGACTAGAAGTGAGTTTTGTATAATTTTGGTAACATGTTGCTACTTTTGAGTTTTTGATTATATATGATTCTTCCTATGTTCCTATTATGTTTAGCCACAAATATACATCAGTCACTTATTGAGGAATCTTTAATTATAACAATGGTAAGATTTTGCTCACTTTTTTCTTTTGTTGTCTTTTTCCACCAATAAACTTAGATTTTGATCTAAATTGAAGGTGTATGACAATGGTAAGATCGATGCCTTTTTGGAGTGGCTTGCCATTAGCCCTGGCACAATCATCACAATGACTCCATCGTGCACAGTCTTTACTGCGATTGGTTAGTGTGATTTCCTTGCATCTCAGCCCTCTATCTACCTTTTCTTTACATATTTATTTATGGTTATTAGTCTGCTAGCTCCTCAAGGACTTTAGTTATGTTTATGAACTAGGGATTTGGGCTTTTTGAATTTGAGAAGTTGAAAGAAGGTAGAGGATAATGATGAAGAACTGAGAATGATGAAGTGACTCATAGCTTTCTATGAGGAGCATCTTAATGTCGTTTAAGCAGGTATTTTCTTTACATCTAACAAATACTTCAGACATCTATTTCCCATTTGCATCAACTTTACAATTTATTGTTTGAATTAGGTAATAAGATATCATTAAGACATTTACATTATTGTGGAATGAAAGTTGAACATTTTATGATCAAGATATTAATTTCATTTTTAGTTTTCTGTGATTGTAAACTGTTGTATAATAAAAAAAAAGCTATTAGTATCCCTCGTCTTCATGCTTTTGAGAGATTCAACCCCAAGTCATTGCTCTTCATGTTGACCAATGTTTCTTTATCAACTTTATAATCAATCACTATAAATAATGCGTGACTTAGCTGTTGCATCCCTTCTTTTTTAATAGAGATATGGTGGGAAGAGGCATGTTTGGAAGGTGACTCTTACTGCTTATTTCTAATAGGAAATCAACAACTAGCCGCTATGTGTAACATTTGGGAAAATTTAATCTTGATTTATTAACCTAATGAGGGTGATAAGTGAATTAATAAGGTGTGCGGCCAGAGGGGTTCAATTGGTGCAATTATTGTGGCAATTTTAGCCCTAGAAGTGGATACGGATCTATGGTGGGCCACTCGGATGAGGAAAGAGGAAGAAAAAGTGAAGATTTATTTTTGGTGCCACAAGTCACGATGCGTGGTCAGTCTGCCGCGGTGCAGAGGCAGATTTGAATGCAATGGCCTCCTTTGTGGCACGCGCTATGGCAGACGGCAATGTGCTCCGCAACGCACGGCCAAAAATATGATATATCAGATTCATATTAGCGCGAGAAAAACAGAAAGAGGAAGAGAAAAATAAAGGAGCTCGACTTTGGCTCTACTAGGGCTTATTATTGGAGCATATTGGTGATAGATTGAAACTTTCAAATACCCAAGGTAAGTAATCTAAGCCTTATTCTTCCTCTCTCCCTCATTTACGATGATTTATGGTTGGGTTTGAGTTGAAAGGTTGAAATTCGGTTCACAGGGGTATGGGTCTAATTTCATTAGTTAAAATGAGTGTAATGGGAGTGGTTTGTAATAGATAAACCCTACATTGATGGTTTTATTAAGCGTTTGTTGGGTAGAGCCATTAATACCCGAAAATCCACATAAATGTGGTAGTTAAGAGAGGTTTATGTCCATTAATAACGGTTTGAAGTGTTATTAATGATAATGTGTACTAATGAAATCTAATGAATCCATTGGATATGAATGGGTAGAGATTTATGGGATGGATAGAATAGAGAAAAAGTGGAATCAATGTTGATAATTCCCTAAGAGTGGGATTGTGATAATATTCTTGCTTATGATTGTAGCGTGAATCATTTGGCACCATTTGAGCTTGTTGAAGCTTTGGAAGTTGTTATTGTGAGCGGTAAACCTTTGATTTCTCAAAGGTTCAGGCAACTGGAGGAAATTTAATCTTTATAGTTGAATATTAATTGTGTTTGTAAAATGTAATTTATGATTTAAATTTATGATGCATATTGGTAATGTGTTTGACTTGCGAAATGGTTTAAAAAAAAAACCTTGATTATGCCACCTACTTGTGATTTATAAATTTAGTTGTGGCATGTTGATGTGAAAGCAAATAATTGTGTGGTGTAATGTGTTGATGATGTGGAGTATATCAGTGAGTATGTTGGAATATTTGTCATGAATGAATCCTTGAAATATATACAATGTGAAAAATGTGCAGAGCATGATCATTGGTGGGAGTTTTCCTAAGGAGAGGAGTAGATTGATTTAGATCCACGTGGTATTGGCAGTGACCATTGGAATCGAAAATTGGCCTTCGCACTAACCGTTGGAATCGGGAGGTAGCCCTTGTCCCATGGTTGATTCAGGACTGTCCCACTTATTTTACAAGGAACTCGAACCTAGCTAGTCTCCACCGGTTCATGAAGAGGCTAGATTAGAGGTACAACACCCCATAGTTGTTAGCATTGGGGGAAACTAGATTACATAAATGAGTGAGTTAACCCTGGCCTGGTAGCTCCTCATAAGTGGAAGGTTGGGTTAATCCGTGAAGGACGTAGCTGCGTGATAGCTACCGGTTTTGTGTTAGAGGTAACAAGAGGGTATAAGGGTGGCATATGATCATGCATATAAGACTGGCTATATGGTTGTTAGTTTTATGGTCTGACATATGTTAGGGGTGCATGGTTGTTATTATTACAACCCCGTGTTGTGCCTTGTGAAATATTATGATATTGTGTGTTGTGGGCCCGATCACATGGTTGCTAGTTTTGTGAACTATGGCCAAATGTTTATATGTGGTATTTGTGTATTTGCCTAATTAAATCTATTTACAATTGATATACAACTATATAGGTTAGGTAAAACTTGGTTACTAAATGGTTGTACTCACCCCTCAATTCTTAATATTTGTAGGACCTTGCTCATCGAATCCGAGTCAGGAAAAACATACAGAGGCCTAAGATTGTGAAGTAATCCTCTATATGCCTCTTTTTAGTTGTTCCATGTGTATTTGGTAATATAATTGCCAATTAGGATCACATACTAATGTTTTTATAGTACTTGCATTATTTTGTGCAAATGGTGTATTTTGTGCTATGGGTTAGTGAGTTTTAGTTATAAACCCGTGGATAGGGCCAAAATACTTGTGCAAGTAAAAATATATGTATTTTGAAAGATTTAGAATGAAATTGGCGGTTTTGTGCAATGTTTTCCTCCCCCTTGGTATTTTGTGAAAATAGGGGTTGAGTGGTTATTTTGCAATATAAGTGTTTTTGATTGTGTGTGGTGCATTGCACGGGTCTGCATGAGTCCATTGGGTATAGTCGTATGGTTGGTGTAGGCTATTGGTATGTGTGGTTGAGTAGGGACACTCCATTTGTGAAATTTTGTGAAAAAGTGATCAAAATGGGTTTTGGTGTCTAACTTTTTATATAAAATAAGTTTGATTGTGAAACCTGTACTATTAGCTAGAGTTAGGAGAAAGCATTGTGTAGATACTGAAACCACCTCAATCGGGCGTCGGATGGAGATTTGGGATATGTCGGAAGTTTGCTCCTTGTGCGGTCAAATGATAGCATTGATGCGGTCAAATTCGTGCAATGCGCCGTGGTGCATGGCGTCTCACGTCGCGGCGCACGGCACAGAAAAGATAAGCCGCGGCATACATGTTGCGAGCCGCGGTGCACGTGTCGTTTTTTGCACAAATATTAGTTTTGAGTTTTAAAATTCACGAATTTGGGTCCCAATTAATTTTCAAGCTTTCGCATTACTTTCAAACTCTGATTTGAACACTTTAAGAGCATTGTTTAAAAATTGAAATGTTGAATTTGGGATTCTTTCTAAAAAGGATTTGAGAAATTCTCTTTTTATGAAATTTTACAATTTGATAATCCTTTAAGAGTTAATCCCTTGATTGCTATGTTTTGGAGTTAAACGTGGATTATTAAGGGAGATCTTACACCATGTTTTCAAGCATCTGTAAGGCATGAAAATCTTTTGATGTCTATCAGCCAACCCCTTACTAAAATAAGCAAGTGGCTACTTTTCCTGCATCAGACTAGCCCTTACTCTTGATCTACATGCATCTGTCTCTACCATAAATTCTTTATTAAAATCAAGAAGGGTAAGAACAGGTGTTGATGCCAAGACCTTTTTGAGGTTATTGAATGACTCTGATGCAAAATCTGACCACTTGAAGTTATCTTTCTTTAGAAGAGAAGTCAATGGCTTTGTTAAGACTCCATAACCCTTGACAAATTTTCTGTAGTATCCTGCCAAACCTAACAATGCCTTGAGTTATTTCACAGTAGTTAGTTCAAGCCATTTAGCAACAGCTTGAATCTTCTTTGGATTTGTCCTAACTTGTCCAACACTAATTAGATGACCTAAATACTCAACTTCAGCTACCGTAAAAGAGCATTTGCTTTTTTTTTTAATAAAATAATGGTGCTATCTCAAAATAAAGAATACTTCCTTAAGGTGTTGTACGTGATCATCAAGGTTAGAACTATAAATTAATATATCATTAAAAAAAACTAGCACAAACCTCCTCAAATAAGGTGAAATATACTGATCATAACCCCTTGAAAAGTTGTCGGGGCATTAGGTAGGCCAAATGCCATAACTAACCATTCATAATGCTCACTATGTGTTTTAAAAATAGCCTTTGGAACATCTTGAGGAACCATCCTGATTTGATGATATCCAGCCCTTAAGTCTAATTTTGTAAACTATTTCGCAGCACTTAACTCATCAAAGAGGTCTTCTAATAAGGGAATTGGATATTGATTCTTTACAGTGTTCTTGTTTGATTCCTTATAATCTATGTAGATCCTCCAAGTGCCATCTTTCTTTTTGACTAACACAATAGGAGTTGAAAATGGGCTTGGACTTTCTTGAATCACCCTATTAAGCAACAATTCCCCCACTAATCCTTCAATAATATCCCTTTGAGCTGAGGGATATCTGTATGGCTTGAGATTAATGGGATTAGTCCCTTTTTTAAGAACTACAAAGTGATCATGGCCTTCCCGTGATGGTGTCGCCCCTTTAGTGCCTTAAACAAGTTATAAAATTCTTGTAAAGTTCTAGAAATTCCCTTTGGGATCTTTGAACAGATTTGGATAGAAAGGCATTCTATCTTCTCTTGTCCCTTGGCCACTAATTAGAGCAAAAAATCTTGACCATCATGCAATTCCTTGATTTCCAGCTTCTTGGGTTGTACCATTCATGGAGTGTTAGGGGGGGTAGCTTGAAGCTTGCACAATTTTCCTTCTAGGCAAAAGAATATAGTTAATGACTCATAATCCCAAAATGCATTTTTAATGCTTTTGAGGCATTTAAACCCTAATCCTAAATCATAAGTGTACAATTCAAGGATATAGAAATCAAAAGTAAATTCTAAGCCTTGCATCCTCCATTTGAAATTTTTCCAAATGCCATAAACTCGTAGCTTTCTTCCCCCTACTACTTCCACCCAGCTTTTTGGTTACTTTATGATCTAGGAAATCATGTGTATTGCCATTATTAATGAGTATCTGAAGCTATCTCTTGCCATAGTACCTAATGACTCGCATAGTAGAAGCTTCATCAACTCCTTCAATAGTATGAAGGGAAATACTAGGTCTGTTATCTTCTTCCTTTTCTTCAGCAGTAGAAAGAGCATCTTCTCCTTGGGTGTCTTGAGTTTCAAGGAAGTGGAGTTGTAACTTCTAACATTGAGGGCATTTGTGGTATTTGGAGAATATTTCATGGTAGTAAAAAACACAAGTTTTTGCTCCAGTGTTCTGCAACTTCCTTTGCAAAGAGAATTTTAGGCGATTTATACACACTTTTTTGGTTAAAAGAAAAAGTTTTTAAATATAAGGATGTTGACTTAGCTTTCCCTTAGGTCCCACCATCAATTAAAGCATTTTTGTAAGGGTCCAAGTGGTATGATAAAATGGCTATGTGGAAGAAGCTATAGGTGCCACGTGTCCACTATTCTTGTGTTGACTTTTCTTCTCAGCCTTTCTTTTTAATGTAATTTCTTGCATCCTTGCTAGGCTTCGTTCCTCCCTCATAGTTCTTTATTTAAACAATTTGACAGGTCTTGCAATTTCTTCTAATAGCCTATTGAGATAAACATCAACCAAGTATTTCTTAGATAAACTAAGTATATAAGAAATAGTGTCAAATTTATTGTTGTAATCAGCCAGTGTTCCTTGATGCTTGAGGCGCACCAAATCACTTATTGGTGTCTTGTGTATAAGGCCAAAGCGATCCTTAAGCTCATTGATGTATTCTTCCCAAATGGACACACTCCTGCCCATTTTTTTCATATGCAACGTGCTACTGGAATGCTTTTGGGTCAAGATGCATGCTTGTAATCTTGACCTTTGACTCTTCGAGGGTTTCATTGAGTTCAAAATAGCACATGCATTTCAGTATCCAGCCTTCAACATCCTCTTGAGTAAACTTTGGAAAATCCATTTTGGTGAATTAGGTTGGTTGGCAATACCCATTCCATTCTTGGTCGTTGCGGCAATATTGGTCCTCTAATTCTTGGTTGTGATACCTATGGTGACCATTGCGTTTGTCCCCATTGTTATCTAAACCACACTGACAATTGTGCACAAGCATCTGTAGCTGGTTTGAGATACCTTCAACAAATTCAGTCAAGATATTTCCTTTATTAAAGTTTTCTTCTAGTCGACCCACACGTTCTTCCATTGCTTTCTTGATCTAATTTTTAGTCTAAACCATGTATTGTTGAGATGAATATGAAAAGAGAAGTGGCCGAGGAGTGCTGCTTTGATACCTTTATTGTATCAGAATAATTTTGGATGATAAAGAAAATAAAGAGAGATAGGAGAGATTAGAGAGAAGAACAGGAAGGTTGGGAGAAGAGACAGGAAAGATAAGAAGAGATAGAAGAATTGACAAGATTAGAGAGAAGGAAAGGTTCAGAGGAATTGAGAAACACAAAGATTCTGCATAATACACTTCTAATCATTAAAGATAGGATTACAGGTTAAATGTCTCATTATTTATAGGTTTCACACTCACACTTCCCAACAGCTAAATCCCAATAACTATCATTTAAATCTAAAATAACTAACTACTAATGACAAAACTATAACACATAAGAAGAAAGTTTACTTCAAAACCAGACATTTCTTGCCCAAGGACAAAGGAAAAGAGCATCCCCCCAAGTTTCTACCTCCTCAAGACATACAGGACACATCAAAATTACAACAATCCTTTCCTTTCAAGGATTCTATAACAAGCACTGCTCTAACAAAACATCTCCATAGGAAATGATTTATTTTTGGAAGAGCTTTAACCTTCCATATCATCTTCCAAACCTTCTTATTCTAGTCATAATTATTATTCCTTCTAACAAAGGGATAATGATCAAGGAAAAAATTTTCTAGAGCACCTGCCTCTAACCTTCAAAGACACCACAAGAGTTGATCAAGCTTGATCACGTCTGTTTTTTATACGGGATGTCACCACAAAACACTAAGGCTTACAAGATTTATGAACTTTTAAATGAATAGTTTCATTTAACTTTTCTTCTTTTTACAAAAGGGAGCATGCCTAGTATATATAGGCTCATAAGAAAGATTATTTCCTATTATTAAAAACCCTAATTTCCTATTATTAAAAGGGAAAGAAAATAATATAAAATAAAGGAGAAAAATACCTGGCCATATAATTTAGGAGATGTGATCATAAAATTATGAGATTACAAAACTTAGAAAATAATATAATTAATCTTAATTTTTGACTAGATTTAAAATAGAAAATTATGACTAGTCTTGCTCTTTTAAGAAAGAGAGTCAAGTCAAAGGACCACCAAGTTAGGAAGTAATTGAGAAGTGTTGCTCACCGTAAGTGTATGGGCTGAAGCAAGTAATATAAT